AACATTCCAAAATACAAGCCAAAAATTTCATTTTAACTCTTTAATAAAACCATAATTATCTTTCAACATATAAAAATCGTAAACTGTGTATCTCAAGACTAACAAAACATCTATCAAATATATCATGGTATAAACATCCCAGGCTGAACAAATGGTGTGTGTAATGCAATCTTCCCGAGCTCCTCTTTTGAAAACTGAAGCACCTGAAACCAAAAACTGAAACTGTAAGCACGAAGCTTAGTGAGTTCCCCCAAACTATCACATACCATGCAATAACATATAAAGCACATACTAAAACTTGCCCACTGCATCAGAATGAAGTCCGAAACTGACTAGTGCCTCGCCCTCTGCATCGGACCGGAGTCCGGAACTAACTAGGGCCTTGCCCACTGCATTGGACCAAAGTAGAGACTAACTAGGGCCTTGCCCCCTACATCGGACCAAAGTCCGGAACTGACTAGGGCCTCACCCTCTGCATCGGACTGGAGTCCGGAACTAACTAGGGCCTCACCCTCTGCATCGAACTGAAGTCCAGAACTGACTGAACATAACATAACATAATCATAACATATAACAATAACACATATACAACATACTGCATCAGATTGCAGCTCAGAACACATAACACATAGACATGCCTGAATCACAAAGACATCAAGCATACTGAACTACTGCCATCTAAACAGGCCGACATTGTGGTCGTAGACCCATTCCTAATGGAAGGAAACTCACCTTGCACTGTTGAAACCTTGATGGTACACTTCTGGATGTTATCTAACAATCCCCGCACTGCTGCTCCTCTAGCTCCCCGAACTATCAATACCACAATAATACTTAGCCTAATACAATAATCCTCCATAGGGTAGAATGACCATTCTACCCCTCCTAGTCCAACTTGATACATATTCCAAGTCCAACACTGGGTAAGCTTCCCAAGCCCACTAGTGACCCACTAATGGCCCAATTTGCTACATTGGGCCCAATCCTTTAATGGGCCTTACCCTAAGCCCAATTATATATATTCATTGGTCCATATTAACTGAACCTGATGGCCCACTATGGCCCAAAGGACCAAAATCCAAAACACATCCCCACACCGAGGCCCAATACGCATACAGCCCAAATCTGTTGAGTACGATGGGCATACTCCAATGTACGTTAAGCGTACTGGCCTGCTAGTGAGTACGTTGGGCTTACCTTCACGTACGCTCAGCGTAATCCTCCTATTAAGACACTTTTCCATTAAGTGCTTCATACTCCACTCTAGAGGCTACTAACTCATATCCAGGTCCTTACTGATGTCTTAAACCATAAAGTCACTAACTTGGTGACTTGCAATCCACCAAACAAGTCCAAACTCAAAAGGTGACAACATGATTTCATTCCAAGGGCTAGATCTCATGCATAGACATAAATGAGTTCTAAAGGTTGAAACTTTACTACTTATGGGACTCATATGACACTAAGGGTGGCAACCTTGGACCTAGAAGACGAGTTGTGACATAAACGTCAAATCTTGGAATCAAAAAGACCCAAAACTTCCATTAACATAGATCCAAGCATACATAAGGAAAGTTTCAGACTTGATACCTCACAATGGTCTAAAATGGAACCAAAATCTCATATCTACAGCTTCCTTTTCAATCGACCACCTTGCTAAACTCTTCTCTTGTTTTGAAATGGGTTCACAACACCCAAATACTCACTTAATGGCTACCAAAGCTTCAATAACACTCAAGGAGGGTTAGGGTTTCGTGGAGAGTGCTTAAGGATGAGATGGGGTTGGCCCCTTTAAGCATGATGTTCCTTTTATAGTGCCACAACCCCAAATTAGGGTTTTAGGAAAGCTGAGTGTACGCCTCCGCGCACCCGCGACCATGCACCGTATTATGCTGGGCATACCCACGTGTCTCTTTTATGCATACATGGCTCGTCTTGCCAACTTTCCCCATTAAGGGACCATTAATGTCAACAACTTCAAATCATCATAATTCCTTTGTTCTACGTCTGTTTCTGACGGACCTTATATCCACGAATAGGTGACGAGAAGCCATACGCTTCTAGCGACACATCCCGACCCAAAACCTCTTGAATAAAAACTTAAAACCCATAAATGACCAAAACGCCCCTAGCCTTGGCCTTCGAAATCCATAAACGTATATTTTCAGAACAGGGTGTTACAACTCTCCCCCCACTTAAACTAGATTTCGTCCTCAAAGTCCACCATGACCAACTATCCTACAATCTGCTCTCAACATTCCTGTCCCATGCACACATCACCTGCCGGATCCGATCCCCGAAGAACCTCAAAAGCACTTCTAATCACCAACAATCCTGAGAGCACGACTCTTACCCAACCGACAATCCTTTTGGTACTCCTTGAGTACTTATGTTGGACATCCTATGGGTTCACCCCTTTTCTCTTGCGCAATCATTGGCCTACCCAAGGCAAATTCTAAAAAAAACAATCCTTCCTTTCTCTGTGACGGACGTAGCCTTCACTGTATATACTTCTCCAGCCACTCCCAGTGCTGGTCACTTCACTGACACTTAGTGAGTGTTCTCTCTTGCTATATCTTGATGCTGAAAACCCCTCCCAGCAAATGGGTCAGATAATCCTTGATATTGCCATATTTATACATATTTTTAGGCAATATTTAATTACATTTCTATTGATATTTTGGTTATTTTCATAGAATAATGGTACTGATGAGTTTAAATTGTTATTTTGCAGCCAAATAGAAGCATCTTCGAAGATAGGGACAGAAATTGACAAGATGTGGAATTTTGGAGGATTGAAGAAAAGAAGAACGGAAAATCACCCAAAAGACATATTCACGACGTGAACAAGTCATGGTTGACGACATGAGTAGAGAGTTCTAGAAGATATGCATGCGGGTGGAAGAGTCCTTGCTGAACACGTTTATCTCATATTCACAACGTGAATCCTTATGGTTCATGACGTGAACTCGGGAAATCAGAAATCTATAAATTCCCTTGACCATTACGACTTGAGGACTTTTTGGCTGATTAAAGGGTTTCCAGAAGACGATTTTCATCAGAGGAGAAGTTCCAGAAAAAGGTTTTCAACACCAAGGGAGCAGAGGTTCATAATTTAGTTTACTTAGTTGATACTTATGAACATGTTTGTCTATTTAGTTTGTGTTTGCTTGTTAGTTGCTATTTGATGTGACATCCCCAAATTCACGGCCAGAAAAGACCGATTTGTTTATGCTTTATTTGAAAATCATAGTATATTTTTAAAGAAATATAATGCGAAATTTGTCCCAAAAATAATATGAAAAAGAATTTATCAAAGCATTTCCGTAGAAATGTATTATATTAAAAACTTTGGGATATCATTGTTAATACAGATCAAAGGCATAAACATAAACAGCATAGACATTATAATATCTATTTATTCTAGTAGCCTATAATCGATTGATCTCTCATTAGATCATCACTCCCGTGCTCTCTTTCCACTACCTGTATATGAGAAAACTGAGTGGGTCAGGCTTGGGAGCCTGGTGAGCACATAGAGCTTTCAACCCGTAATAAATAAGTTTATTAATTTCATTAACCAACAATAACCCGATTACCCATTCCCGTTATCCTCACTTTATATCCCTAAAACACCTATCGTAAGGGATCTAGCCTAAGGATTATCATCGGGATGGACACTACTGCTAAGGGGTTTCCTCAACAATGAATGTCTGTAAGGCAACCATGAGGGGGATAGAGTACACCAGTGAACATATCGTTCACAAACACCTACAGGTTGCAGGCCTGCTAGCGTTCCACTTGACTGTCTAGAATAGTCCGTGGTTGTCATCTATACTCTGCTAGATGACTAGATCAACAACAACATCGAGGCCTCTTGTCATTTTATTTCATCACACACCAACTATTTCATCTACCCATGTTTTACCCAAACATATTTGTAG